GGTTGGGAAGGGCTAGGGGGCAGGGGAACTAAGCTGGAACTAAAGAAGAGGAGGAGGGAGAACAGAGAAGAAAAAAATCATCAAGGAGACGGAAATGACTTTTAGATCCAAGGAGGGTGTGGGCTCTCCCGCTGAGTGTGATGAAATGTGAGGAGGTGGCTAGGCTCCAAATTTGGTTCTGAGCCAATGGAAAACTGTCTCCCAGAACTCTGGTGAGTCTCCTGGGACTCACTTTTCCGCAAATAAAGACGAAGAATGACAGCCCTTCCCAGCTCTCCCCTGCTGTCCAAAGCTCACAGCTTTGTCCCAAAGGAAAGCACGCATTATTCCTCCGACATGGCTGAGGAACTGAAGTGGTGAAGTCCCCCAGCTTCAGCCACCTGAAAGTTGATCCAGAAATCAGGTTCCCAGAAATCGTGTGCTGACAGCCCTCCAGTCTCTTCAGCCCCCAGATGCTTGCATGGTGTGGGAGAGATGGCCTATAGGACTTAGGGAGAGGAGCTCTGTTTTCTGGCAGTTCTTCTGTGCTAATTCTTTGCTTACTTGTTCCTCTTCCCCATGGGACTGTAAACCCTCCAGGGTGGGGACCATGCTTTATTCATATAAAATTAACTAATTCCCATATTTAGCACATGTTTACTGAGCTCTGACTATGCTCCAGTCACAAAAGGGGAAAAGTTCTCACGCTCTTGGTGCTAGTTTTCTAGTGGTGGGAGGAAGGGTAGATTAGAAATAAGCTGGTAAGCAGACAAATGAAGAAAGAGACGATTTCAATGTGTGATACACGGTACACTGGAAACATCTCAGGTGAATTGGTGGGGAATCGGTGGGTGCGTGAGGTGGCCGGGGGCTATAGTCCATTGGATGTCAGGGAAGGTCATTCTTGGAGGAGGCGAGATTCGCATTGAGATCTCAAGTATGGGAAGGTGTCAGTCACAAAAAGCACAGGAAAGAGCATTCTGGGCAGAAGAGATGTCAAGGGCAAAGACTCTTAGAGTGGAAACAGGACTTGCCCATTCAAAGAACAGAAAGTCCCCTGGGTCACTGGGCCTCTGGCTTAGTGAGCAGGGAGGAGACTTATGGAAGTCCCAACAGGCAGTGTGAAAGCATATGAGTTTAGCTCTGGGTACAGCAGGGGAGAACTAAATACCAAATTTGGGCTGTAATATTATATTTTCCTGAAAAGAGGCTTCACAACGTTCATCAGATTTTCCAAGAGACCTGCGATCTCCCCTCCCCCATACGTTGATGATACCTGATGTAGAGGGAGAAGAGAAGGCCCAGGCCCTTCAGAAACATTCAGTTTGGAGTCACATGCAGTGAATTCTTCCAGGATGCAGAGAATTACCCAGGAGAAAAAGTACAAAGAATGATCCTTGAGGAGGTCAAGGGTGGAACTTGAGACATTATCCGTGACATCTTAGGGAGTAAACAACATCTAAGTGTCCCCCAAATATGGTAGGAACATACCCAAAAATATGGGGAGAAATGGCAGGGTTAGGAATTTTGGGGATCTCATGGAAGACATCAAATTTGCAAACAACTGGACAATGAATCAGAGATATTTGAGCATTACAAGGACCTCTTTCTCTTGTTTTTACAACTGTGTCTAAAAGGTTTCTAAAAGTCTAAGGGTGATGTAAAGATGCCTAAAGTCCCCCTAATACTATGCCCCTAAATTTCCCTAAGTCAATTTTTTCAAGGACCCCTTTCTCCTGGAGATTCCCTCTTCCCTTCACCAGATAGTTATAGGGAAGATGAAAGCTGACACACATTTTGGCTGAATGGACTTCTAACCTCCCCGCACACCCCGCGTGCCCCACGCACCTCCTGCCCAAATCATTAGAAGATGAGCAGAGATGATTTGGAAGGGCTTGGACTTGTTTATTAACCTAAACAGTCATATTCGTCTGCAAGGTGCGCTATTGTTAATTAAAACTGCGATTCTTCTTTTGCCCAGAGAATAATTGGATAGCATACAGTGGTTTTCAAGCAAATCCCTGACAATTAGAGTTGGCAGTGAATTGGGTTTGAAACCCCAGTGAAGTTTTCAATCAGAATTCTCTGAGGGTGGTTTCTGGAGGAAGGTGATGAAGGAGCTGGGGGTTTACACAAATAGGAGTAGATAAAAGGGTGTGAGGACCCGGTATTTGCTTCCTAAATCCTTTGGGAGGGGCTGCAGTTTGAAATCAATGAACTATGGGCATCAATGTGATCTTCCACCTTCCCTTAGGAAATAAGTCTCTCTCCATAAAGAAGCAGTGCAGACTGACCCTACCCAGGGCGTGGAGTGTTCCCAAGAGCTTGCTCCCTGGCTGTCATCTTTCTGAGAGGGTATTTTTGTTTAGGCCCAATAACTCATACACAGCTAAAGTCTCTGCCTTCCCTGAGATTAAATTCTGAAGGGTTCAAAGGAAATAGGATTTGTATTCCCAAAGGGTTTCAGAAAACATGCCAGAGTTAGACTAGTTTGGAAGTGGTTGGTGGCATTCAGTGGGTTAAATGGACTGGTGTGACAGGACCCCAGGAAAACCTTAAAGAAATGACTGAGGCTGGGGTTAGACTGACAGAAGAACTCTCCAAATGCAGTGTAGATAACACAGGGAAAGGCCAGCCCCCTAGGGGACTGGGGCAAAGCTGTGGAGATGGGATGGGGAGGAGATAGCCATGGGGAGGCGTCTCCAACCCATCCTGACCTCTTATCAGCTGCAGGCTTCTGCCTCTGCCTTTCTTTTGTGAAAGATGTGAGAGCTGCAGAGCTATCTGAGGGTCTCTCTGACAGGACTGAGCAAAGAGGGATTTCTATCTGGAGGCATGGCTTGGGGTGTAGATAAGACAACCCCAGTGGTCTTAAATTAAGCCTCCCTTGCATCAGGTTGACACTGGAAGATTCAGCAAGTCGAAAACGCCCTCTCCTCCCCCTTAACTAGGTCAGCCTCCGAATCCAATAGCTTGTAAAGGAGTTGGCCAATGTCTGAAGGATTGAGGGTGGTCAGGTGCTGGAGGGGGCAAACTACAAGAATAGGCGGGAAAGGGAGTAAGAAAAAAGAGAACACTGGGACACATGCATAAACTATGGTTGGAGACCTTAGCATAATTTAGGTTTGTAAATTATGTCTTTTTTCTTCATTTTCTCTGCCTTCCTTTCTGTTTCAGAATGTCTCCCGCCTCTCAATAGGTCCCTAAATCCCGCCTTTCAATTTAGGATACACCAATCGGCAGCTAATCTGGTGGTTGCTAAGAGACAGGAGGTGGGGGATTCAGAGGATTTGTCACTGCACCCACCCAGGAAAATTCCCCGAGCCTAGGATGCTCTAACTCACCTCTGCTCCTCTCCTGCACTCTCCTACTTAGCTCCAAAGTCCAGAGTCAAGCAGAAACGGTTTAGGGGAGAAACCAGTTATAGCATATCTTTTTTTTTTTTTTTTTTTTTTTGCGGTACGCGGGCCTCTCACTGCTGTGACCTCTCCCGTTATGGAGCACAGGCTCCGTTCGCGCAGGCTCAGCGGCCATGGCTCACGGGCCCAGCCGCTCCGCGGCATGTGGGATCTTCCCGGACCGGGGCACGAACCCGTGTCCCCTGCATCGGCAGGCGGACTCTCAACCACTGCACCACCAGGGAAGCCCTATAGCACATCTTTGAAAAACGAAAGACCATACCTAGATTCAGACAGATATAAGGTACCTCTCAAGTCTCCCCAGCTTTTTAACTGGGTTGGAGGGAGAAACTCATTTGTGTGTGTGTGGCATCTTGGGTAGACGGAGAATTTGTTGGTGCAAGTAGAAGTTGTTCCCCTTATGAAGTGGGGCTTATTCATGATCCTTCCCATCATCACCTGAACTTGGCTGAGAAAAAGCCCTCAGGATCATGACTAAGCATCCAGAGAAAGGGGGGGCGGGGGGGCGCCCAGAGTGAAAGGGTACAGCGTGGAAAGCGGAAGGGTATATTTGTGTGGCAAACAAAAAAAGGTTTATTTTGAGAGCTGAAAGGTGTTTGAAAGGGAAATTTGGGATCCAAATTCTTGGCATCCAAGAAGATGACCCAGCCAGATCAGGCCCTTCCCCATTAAGTATCTCAGGCTTCACAACTCCTTGGTTTGTTTAGTTCCCTCTACACATCCTTCACGGAGAAGACTAGATACAGAAACCGGAGTAAGGAAAACTCATTTGGTAAGGAGTGAATTACAAATCCTGATTCCATATCCTGAGAACAAGGAAGGAGAACAGAATGAGGTGAAGGGAGAGGCCTGAGAGAGATCGGAGCATACACAAATGCAAATCAGACACTGATGGAGAGGCAAGTATACACGTAGACATCTGTTATTACATGCATTCATCTAACGTGGATATGGGTTCTAACAGATTGAGGACAGACAGATGCACACATGCACACACACACACAGGGATTAGGATTATGCTGAGGAATAAACCTCGGAGAGATGACTCCTGGGAAGTGGCTTTAGAATTATCTTGATTTGTTCCCTGGACTAAGTAAGGTCCCTCAGGATGCTTCTCTCCACCTTGCCTACCACCACCCTGATCTCTAAGCAAAGCCAACAGGGAGACAGAAGACAGGGAGGAAGGCTGGACAGGCTGAGCCGGGAGGAGGAGTCATGCTCTGGCCTCATCTTCAGTCTTCTCTGTTTTTCTCTCTCTGGCTTCTACTCCGATTTCATTTGCTTTCTGCAACAGCTTCTCTTCTTTCTTTACTAGCTAAGCCATCTCTTCTAGTTTAGGTTTAGCTGCTCTCCTCATATTCTGATCCCCCTGCTCTTCCCCCTTGAGATGGCAGTAACCCCACACTTCAAGAGAACATCTGTGTGCCCCGAGGATGTTTGCACATCATTCATTTTCTCCCCAGGCCAGTCAGAGAAGCAGACACTGCCAGGGAAGTCTGCTGTGAAATCTCTCTCTCTCTCTCTCTCTCTCTCTCGCTCTCTCTCCATTCTCCTCCCTCTCTTCTACATCCCCAGACAAAACAAGAAACCACCAGCTTCATAAAAACAGCGTACACTTTAATTCAAGTTGACAGGTGGGAAGAGAGCTAGGATTTGCATCCAAGGATGTCCAGGTGGGAAGATTGTGTTGCCGAGAGGGGCAGGGAGGGCAGAGAAGTTTGAATGGCCTGGTAGCAGAACTGGGCGAGGAGCAGGGGTGTAGCCACACAGTGCAATATTGCCAGGGCTTCTGCCAGGTCCAGCAGCATGTCCAGGGTCTGCTGGGCCAGACATGTTGACACCACCATGGCCCTGGACCTCACCAGGGAGTCCAATCCCAGAACCATGCCCTGAGGCCACCAGAAAATGAACCAGACATATAGGATATTAACCCAGGGACATGGCCCCCTGCCCAATGCCTTCTTCAGCCCCTTGGCTCCCAACAAACCCAGTGGCAACAAGATGAAGATGGCAAAACAGGCTGCAGCATGTATGTACCGCAAAATTTCCCATTCCCCGCTGAAGGTCACTGTGCAGAGTCCATGGGAAGTGTCACTGCCCAGCGTGATTGGCAGTGACAATAGGGCAGCCACTCCCCAAAGTCCCACACTGATCCCCAGCCTGAGACCTGGGACGTGACCTATACCCAGTTTGGGGCCCAGGCAGGCATGGCACCCTATCAGCAGAGCTTGGGCAAAGGCTGAGCCATACGAGACCAAGTGAGCTAGGTGGCAGAGGGAGGTGATGAGGGCCCCACTTAGCCCCCGTGCCAGGATGGGCACCATAATGCTAAAGAGAGCACTTCCCACAGCCAACTGCACCAGGATAGACCAGTTCTGGTAGACCTGACGGGGGAACAGAGGTCTGAGAAATGCGTAGAGGACAGCTCCACTAATCAGGATGCCCAGGACACTGGCGAGGATGAAGAAGGGCAGTGAGGAGTCGTCGAGCAGGATACAGGAGTGGCAGGGCGCAGCTGCTTCCACATCGGTGAAGTTATAGTCTGCATCGTACGTCTCAAGAAATTCACTCCAAATCTTGTCTTCAATGGCCAGTTTAGTAGAGTTGTCATCAGCCACCTGGAGGACATTCTCAGAAGGGGCAATCAGAACATCTAGTTACCTCACTGGAGGGTATCCTGGGAACCGAGGGCAAGAGGTGGGGAGAGAAAGACAGTGGGGAAGTGGGGGCTGGAAGAGCTGGATGGAGTGGGGATGGTGGGAGAGGACAAGGCAGGGCGACTCAGGAGGAGCAAAGAGTCGTAGAAAAGCAAGGGAAGGGCCTCCCCTGGTGGTCCAGTGCAGGGGGTGAGGGTTCGATCCCTGGTCGGGGAGCTAAAATCCCACATGCCTCGCGGCCAAAATACCAAAACATAAAACAGAAGCAATATTGTAACAAATTCAATAAAGACTTTAAAAGATGGTCTGTGTCAAAAAAAAATTTTTTTTAAAAAAAAGAAAAGCAAGGGAAGGGGAGTGGACAGGACTGGGAGAGCGGGGAGGGGGGAGGTCTGGATGGAACTGACAAAGATGAATGAGGAGGACCTAGGACACTGAGGTAAAAAGGGGAGAAGGAAAACAAGGGAAGGGACAAGAGATGAGAGAAGGATAGAGGTATACAGACCCAAGGGGCAGACAGAAGGAGTGGTGGGGGGCCAGAGAGGGAGGGGCTGTGGGCTCAGACCCACACTCACCGGGTGCAGACAGTTCCCCATGACACTGCTGGGCTCAGGGCAGGCAGAGAGATGGGCTGGGATAGTTCTGTCAGTGGCTGTGGTTCCCAGATAAGTGCCAGGGACTAATGAAGGCCATTGGCTCTGGGCAGGGCTATGGGGCGGGCAGTGCAGGATGGGGATGCATTCAGGAAGTCTTTACCCCACGCCCACTGCCTTCCTGAACCTCAGGACCACTTGGGGCCCTGGCCCAGGGCTTCCTGTTTTGAGGGTGGATTCCGCTGGTGGGGACCTGCGCTCAGGAAAGGAAAAAGGTGGGGACCAGAAGGTGGGTATTTTCCCGAAGATGGAAAGGGAGACTTTCTGAAGGTGGAGAAGCCAGGGGGTTCCCAGCATAAAGGGATTCTTCAAGCACAAGGAAGGAAGAGGGGGCCAGAGGTGAAGTGTGAGACAGAGATAAGAGATGTGCTGGGAAGTTGGAGGGAAAGGGCAGCTGATGGCTCTCACTTCTTCTCTGTCCCCTTGAACTTGATCCAAGGAAAGATAGTTCAAAAGGGACGTGTTTGTGGGAGGGGGTGTTAGTGGTGTTTGTGGCTGGATCCATGTGATGCTGGCAGCCTGAGCCACATGTGTGCGAGCAGGGGCTCTTTGTGTATCAGTCTGGGTGTAGGAATGTACTTACTTATCTGTTCTTGTCTGTGTGTGTGTGGCTGTGTATCCTGTATATCATATCTTAGTGCTAGGTTTTAGGCAGGTGTCTTGGTGTGTGTACTGCTATCTCCAGGTCTGGGTGTTTCAGTGTGAGAGGAGGGAGGGCTTGGGGGCAGCTGTCAAGGTTGCATAATGAAGCTACTTCAGGGAGCAATTGGGCACTTGCCCAGCCACCTATGGGCACAGCGAATGCATCTTCCATACCAAGCAGAACACATGACGTGACAAGTTAAAGCAGGCTCTGGGGGACAATGGGACGGCATATTTTAAAATGGGACTGTTGCCTATGGGGTAATCTCTATTCATATTTCTGTTGGGGGACATAAAAGCTCTGGAAATGCTACACTGGCCTGGCATCTTAGCAAGATGTAACGTTTCTTGTGGTGGGGGAGAGCTATTTCTCTCCAGTTGGCATGGGGAGAAAAGGCGTGTACCCTGCAGGAGGATGCCCCTAAACCGACACCTCTGCTCCTTGGTACCCCCTCTCCCCACCATCCCACTGCTTTCACGTGATCTCTGCTCTTTTGTTCCCTCCACCCCACCATGCATTTTATTTCCTCACTTGGGGACACTTAGCCTGGACATTGGGAGGGGTGAGTCATGGAGTGTCCGAGCTGGAACGATGAGATAAACAGGGTTGGTTAGGCGACACTGTTTCATTTGTCCAAGAAAGCACGCCATGTGGTAGTCCGTTCTGACCAGTGGTCTTTCCCACTCACACAGCGCCGCCTGGAGGTGGAAGCAAAGGTGCAGAGGGATGGCCATCTTGCTAAGACGGTCCCCTTTCTCCCAGGACTCTAGCTTCAGTTTCAGGTTCAACATGAGGTGGGCTAGAAAGGGAGTTTGGAGGGTCTGCTGAAGTGGTCCCGGAATGGTGTTGGGGGGGTCTTCTTCTCCAGCACAGCCTGGCACAGGACATGGGGAGCAGTCAGTTGCTGTGGAATGAAAGGACCTGGCCAAAGGGGATGAACACACTTCTCTCCCTTGGAGAATTATATCCATTCCATACAAGATGCCCTGGGGCGAGCAGCACGGCAAGGCACACACCAACCCTGGAGGCGCCACGTGCGGGGGGACCAGCAGAACAGCCCTTACACACACGCATCCCAACAGGAGCAAGGGCGGCAAGAAGGAGGCAACCGAAGGACACGGGTAATCCAGATATATTGAGGGTGGCCCCTCTGAGATTAGCACAGGAGAGTTAGAAAGATTATAAAGATACACGATGCCCTCCCTGCTCCCTGCCCCGCCCCCCCCACCGACAGACACACACACAGCACAACGGCCCCTCCCCCTCCCCCCCGTACAAATATGGCTTCTGTGTAATATGGACAGAGTGGTTCAGCTCGAAGAGGAAAAGTCATTTTCCCAAAAGCGGGTGCTGGGAGGCTGGGAGCCCACAGGCCTGGGGCCCTAGGCTGCCTTGCTGCTGTAAGAGGAGGGGACCCCGGGCTCTAACCAGCGGCTGGAAGATTCACAACGGTATTACCTGAACGGAAAGGGGTGGCAGATCTACTGGCTGCAGCTGCCCCCACTTTGCACGCCCCTGGGTTGTCAGGGCAGGAGGACATGCTGGAGGAGGGGCAGAGCAGTGCCCAGGGGCACCCTGGGTCTGAGGCAGGGCGGCCGGCTGGCGGGGAGGGCGAGCAGTCTCGTCTCCACGGCAACCGGCTCGGCCACAAGGAAGACAGAAAATCAAAAGCAGGGGTGGAGGTGGGAAGGAGACAGGCAGCATCACTCCCAGCCCTCAACGCGCCGGGTACAGACTATGGGAACAAGAAGTGACAGTGGTCATTCCAGAGTCAGCGCCAGGGAGAGGCCTGGGGGATGCATAGCAAAGGCTGTGGCACTGACTCCTTGGCTGTGAGAGGGGAAATGGAGGCGGGGGTTGAATGCCCTGTGTTTTAGGGAAAGATGAGGTGGACGACTGAGCAAAAACACACGCTGGGACTGTTTTCTCCATAACAGATGGGCGCCGGGGATGGCATGGAAAACACCAGGATGGAGCAACATCCCAGGTGAGGTACACAGCCTGCCTAGGGACCGTCAGCTCCCAAAGCCCTCCTTTACAGGAGCCGTCCTCCCACAGCCCGCCCACATGCCCAAGAGCCCCTCTGCCTCTCACTCACACACATATGTGCACAGACACACACACAGACACGCACTCACATTATTCCCTTCGTTTGGGCAGGAAACAGCTCAGTGCAGTGAAGCTCCTTTTAGTATTTTTGTTGTTATGTCTGCCTGGCTGCTGAGGGAGGGAGGGAGGACTAGGGACAGCTTCGGGAACAGGAAGGGCCACAGGGCAGCACAAGACGGGGAGAAGTTGCTGAGCAATGCCATAAGATGAGTGGTTGCCGTGCAACAGGCCAGGGGCTCGGGTGACAGTGAAGGGCCCCTCGGCGGGGAAGCGGATGCTGTTTAGGGCCCAGAGCAGTGCCTCTCCCACAGCTGCTGGAGCAAGGAGGGGCAGCCTTGCTCTGCTATTCCCCCCCCCAAGGGCGGTTCCTGGGAAAAGGGCCTGGCTTCGTTCATCGTGGGGAGCCATCTCTGCCATCCTTCCTCTCCAAATCTGCCCCTCCTGCAAGGATCTGTGTCCTCCCCCTTGGGGAAGCCCTGGGCCCCCCCCCGCACGCGTGGCTGCATGCCACCTGCAGGTCACATCCCCTCGGGGACCGCCATTCACTCCTTTCCTGTTGGGGTGGAGAAGGGGTGTCAGATGGTACCTGCTCCTGTGTCCAGAGCTCAAGGTGTGCGACTAACAGAGGAAAAGCCACCTCCAGCTCCTGGTCACAACCTCCCCGTCCCTGGAGAAGTCCGGGAAGAGCCCCTGCTGCAGAAGATGGAGGGCTGGTGAGAGCCCCCCACCAAACTGACCCCGCTTCTTTCCTGCCCTTACCCTTTCCTCATTCTCCTCCTAACACTCTGGGTTTTTTTTTATTTTGTTTTTGTTTTTTTGTTGTTGGCTTTCCTCACCCCAGGACCCCTGCCCCTCCAGCCTGGAGACGGATTTGATTTGGGATTGTTACAAAAATAATAATAACCCAAACGCAGAGAAGCCACGGAAAGGGCTGAGGGCAACCCTCCCTCCCCCCGCCCTCCTCCCTCCCCATTCCAAACCGAGTACAAAACCGCACCCAAAGCAGACATTCTGTACAGGGGGGTGGGGGGGGCTGGGGAGCAAGCGGGAGGGGCGGCCCTGGGGTCGCTCTGTACAAGTCCAGGTTGGTGATGACCCCAGCAGTCCCCACGGGGTCCCTGGGGGGCTGCCCCTAGATGAAATATTCCTTCTTGTCGTCCCCGCCTGACTGCCCGCCTTCTGCGTTGATGATGGCTGTGTCCGCATCTGGGGCGTCGTCAGAGCCTTTCGCCTCGTGTGTCAGGTAGGTTCCTGGGGAGAGAGAGAGAGGCTCCTTCTTTTAGGAGCAGTTTCCAAACCTCTGAAGCCCCTCTGTCCACTTTCCCACCACCCACCCACACCTTGCTTCTGTAATTTTTCTCCTGCCTAGAGCTTTATTCTTCCTCTCTACCTGCCCTAATTTGCATCTTGCTGCCACCATCTGTCACCTGACCACACCTCCAAGAATTAATGAATCCTGCCTTTAATTAGAGTCTGATCTATAATACAGGCCAAAAAAAAATGGTGTGTGTATGTGTATACGTGTGTGTATATGTGTGTATATATGCGTGTGTGCATGTAAGGTGGTGATAGGGAAACTGCTAGGTCAGCTCCATGACAACGAACCTGAGATCTGGCTAGCATTTGCCCAGTCCACGTAAGTCCAGCTGCTGGCTAGAAGGAATAACAGAGGGGGAGGTCTGAGAGGAAGGCATGTGAGAAGAGGGGAGGGAGAGATGGCAGGGATACAGGAGAGGAGAGAAAAGTAAAGGGGTGGTGCGAGGACAAGGCACAGGGAGACCAAAGGACAAAAAAACATGAGGCTGAACAGAAAGGAGGAAAGTGCAGGAAGGAATGGGAAGAAGAGGCAGAGTTTCGGCAGTTTTCTGTCTTATGGCAGGAGACCCCGGAGGCAGAGCAGCATGGGAGCAGCAGCTGACTGATTTTACTTGGATGGCCACCAAGGGATCAGGCCCTACTGTGGGGTTGGAGATGCTCAGTTATCACAGGGTTGGCTGTGTTCTTTCTTCCTCAAACTCTCCAAGGGGCCGACTGAGTCTCCAAAGGCCCTTCCTGCAGCCTGCCCTTCACTGATCTCCCTACCCACTCCCAATCCCTCCTGATGCTTCCCTCATGCCTCTGACCTTTGTGCCGGATCAAGTAGTGGCCAAGGAAGATAAGCAGGACGAGCAGCAGGAAGACGATGAAAGCTACGATCCCACCAATGATGGCGTGGTAGGTGCTGGAGGATGAGGGCACCGGACTGGGATCTGGAGGGAGGTGGGATGCACACAGTCAGATGTGGGAAGAACTTCTATCTCACAGCATTTCTGACCTGGCCATGGATCATCTTACACAGCTGACAACATGGACTAACATCAGGAGAATGGAGTGGCATCTTCCAGCAAAAAGGGATATGTCTTCTTTTGTACCTAGTTTCTTACAGACTATCTGGAACATAGTAATTGTTTTAAAAGAATGTAATCATGAATAAATAGATACATCTGCTCACACTTAACCTTTTGAGTTCGTGAACCTGAAGCTTGACCTTGGTCAAAGATCATCACTTTAATGTCTAAATCATCTCTTGTTCTGTGTGTGTGTGTGTGTGTGTGTGTATGTGTGTGTGTGTGTGTGTGTGTGTGGTGTGTCTGTGTGTGTGGTGTGTCTGTGTGTCTTTCTTTCAATTTCTGGGTTAGCAGAGTATTTCTTCCCTATCCCCCATGCCCTCTTACCCTCCCATCTGATTTATATTCTGAGCTGGCCTTTCTAGGGGGGCTTCTCACCATATTCACCCATTGTCCTGATATCAGATAGGGAAGGAGAAGTGAAAAACTGATGGAGCCAGGAATAGGCACTTTGAGAGCACCTTACAAAAGACGATGGGCTGTGACTCCCTATATAAAGAACAGTGTTCCTTCTTGGCAGGGGAGCTTAGAGTTCCAGCAAGACGCAATCCTCCAGCAGGTCTCATCAGAGAGGTCTGGGACTCCATCTTCACTTCCCCACCAACCAGAGGTTTGTGGGAAGGACAAAGACTGAACTGCTTCCTCCCATGATGGCAAGGTCTCGGTCACTGAATATAGAGAATCTGTCCTCCATAGCAGCATCGATAGAGGATAGATTCCCAAGCACAGGCTTGGCCAGGCATGTGAAGGAGAGCCGCAGCCTTAGTCAGGGTTCCGCAGATCTCAGGAGACAGTGCACGGGCCCAGGGCACAGTTCTGATGTGTCCCAAATTACATGAGCTCTAGTCGCGGCTCTCCCACCCCTGGGAGAGCTACTGTTGTTTTATAGACTCAGCTTGAGCCTTGATGCCTCATTGACTCCTCATACATTTTGTCTCTCCTACCTTATGTCTCCTCAGGCTTGACTGGACCAGCTTTTTAGTTCCTTGCCTGTCTCCGCCTTATTTGGAAAAAAAACAAACTTATGCTCTGGTTTTTATGCTCTGCTTGGGAGGGAGAAGAGGGTCCGCGGGGCTCTATGATAGGAGGGGTGGGTGTGATGTTGTAATCTGGAGGGAGCACAGTGAGGTTATCCACTGTTCTTCCTCTTCTCTCCCCTCTCCACCCACCCCCGGGAGAATGTGAGACACAATCCACATTAAAAATCAGTCCTGGATAATTATCCCAGAGGCTATGGGAATGTAAATTCCCTAGAAGAGCATAGGTCTGCACGACCAAAATGAACTCTGGGGTCATCAATTACATGTCACTGTCTCCAGGTAGAGCTCCGTTTAATTTCACTCCAGGTAATTGGGCGTCAGCTCGGTTTAGGATGATTTCTGGAAGGAGATGCAGTAACTCATTCTACCACCAGGCGTCAGCACTGGCAGAAGATGCAGTCAAACAGGACCGCGCTTTCTAGCACAGGGTGGCGGGGGATCAGCAAGAAACCAACAAGGGCACAGGAATTTTCTCTCACTGCCAATCATCGTCAGAGATCTGGGGGCAGACACAGGACCTCAGTGCATTGTCCTCGCTCCTGGCACCCTACAATAGCTTTGTTTGTTGTGCTGAGGCAGCTCCCACATGCTGAGGTCTGCTCCTGGAGTTGGATTCACCCCATCTAGACACTTTGGTCCCAAGATCTCCGATCTCTTATTCCTGGGAGGCCTGGCTGCTATCCCTACACTGCTTTAATGGGCATTTCACATAAGGGAGTCTCTGATGTTCCCCTGACAATGCATTTCCCCTGTTCTGAGGAAAGGCTTATTAAGGCTTTCTGGCAGGACCCCACTGCTGTTGGGGTCTTCAAAAAACCTCCTGCCAACTCTGCATAAAGAGGCCTCTGTCCTAGCCTATCACTTCTCCTGAAGCTGGATTGTGTGGTCACACCTTTGGGAAGAACTTCAGAGAAGGAGCATCATCTAGTCTCTCTAGAAAATATGGCATCTGAGAAAAGATTCTGACTGTCTCTCAGCACAGTACGAACTTAGCTCTATTTTCCACCTCGATTCTGTATAATGTGTCCAAGGTCTGCAGAAAAGGAGATGACAGCAGCAGCATGCATCCTGTACTAGTCACAGGAGAAGCAACTCTGAGGACAGCCTGTTGCAAAGGGAGACGCATCTACACTCACACTTGAGCAGCTCGGGGGCCTCTACACACAGAATTCTTATTCTTGTTGCCAGGTGAGTGCAGGGGCTGGAGGATGGTGTTGCCTGGGTCACCACTGCTAAACAAAGGCAGATGAAAGTCCACCATTCCACTGGTTTTTCCTTATTCCACATTCTAGAATGGACCTAGAGCCTAAGTCCCCAGGCCCTCTGGTGGTGGGCTGTTGCCCTACTAGCCCACTCCCAACTATGGTCTGGGGATGCTATCAGGAGATGGAAAGACCGGGGTACCAGATGTTAGAGGAGAAGAGAAGGGGTTTGCTGGAGGAGAGCTGCGGAGGGCTCACCGTTCACGTTGAGAGTGTAGTAAGCCTTGTAGCTGCCCATGTTGCTGGTGGCTGTGCAGCCATAGGTGCCGCTGTCACTCTTGTTGAGGAAGGGGAAGATCAGGGCGCTCTCCTGGGTCATCTTTAGCGGCGGCACACTGCCCTCCTTCTCCCATAGGTACTGCTGGGGGCTGTTGAGGCAGAGAAATCGAAGGGTTCAGAAAAGAGTAGGGCAAGGAGCTAAAGAAGGACAAAACAAAACAAAACTGGGAGCAAGGAAGTCAAGGACAGTTTGATGAAGGCTTGAGCAGTTATAGGGGCCAGAGACACTGAGCTGCTCAGAGGCAGGCGGAGAGGGACTCCTTGGGGTTCAGCCTGGGGACGAGGAAGATCGCCTAGCTTGTATCTAACTGTGACTTGGTTCCTTACAGGAACCTCAGGGGCTCAGCCAGGGGGCGGCCCCTCCCCACTTCTGCTGCTTTGCAGGAGAAGCAGTCAGAGGATGGGTGTTGTTAGACAGTGTCAGGGAAAATGAGCGGCTCAGACAGTACGAAGGAGATGGGAAGACTTTAGGCAAAGTCTTAGTCTGTAGAGGTGCATTACAACCCAGGAAGTGGATCTCCTTACGCGGGATTGCCACGCCCCTCGCAGTGGAGCAACAGCTTCTGGCCCTCGCGGGGGTGCGGAGGGTCTGGCCTAATCTTCGCTGTTGGTGTGTCTGTGGAGAAAGAAATGGAGTCAACGTGAAACTCAGGGTCACCTCGATCTCAGAATCATCCAGTTATGCATTTCAGCCGCCACCCCTAAAGGCCTAGGAGCCCTAGAGGCTGTGAACAAAGACCACCATTGCTGTTGGATGTGTGAGGGAGTCATATGGCAACCTTGCAGAGGTAGGATTATGGAAGGTCTGTCCTTGCTGGGGACCCAAGGGATGTCTTAACAGAGAGCTGAGAAGGGAGATCACTGGATCATCTGTGCCTAGCACATAAATGGAACTTAATACATATTTCTGACGGGACAAATAAACTTGAATTTGATCACTGATTGAGTTCACAACCTCTCCATCCTCTCTGCAAGAGAGCTTAAATGGGAAGCAATGCTTTAATGCAGAACATCATTTTTAGTAGCTGGTCCAAAAATGAAGTGAGAGCTTTGAAACAGCAAGAGATGGAGGTCATATTTTGGCTGCAAAAAGGCCCTGACACAATGTAGATGGGTTCTGGGAAGGAAGGACGGCATCTGCCACCGATGCCGAAGGGTTGCTTAGGAGGCTGGGTGCAGATGGCCGCATAGAACAATACAACCAGATGCCGGTTTAGAACAACAGATAAAGAGGCCGAGCTTCCCCTAAGGAAAGAGCCAACCTTAACATCCGGTTAATGAACGTGTTTCAGTCCAATCAAACGGGACGAAGAGAATCAGGCCAGGTGAGAGAACGGGTGTTCCAAGGCCTCACAGCCAGAGAAGCCTCTAGTGCAGCACCTGTAGTATAGCATTTGTTGACTGACAGCTGATCACAGTTGAGCCAGAATGATCCCTGGAGAGTAACTGCCAGATGGTCCAGTGCCTAACGGAGGAGTCTTTGGGGCTCAGACAGGGGAGGGCCTTCTTTAGCCCTGGCCAGGGACCAGGCCCTGGACAAGGAGACCAAGGCCAGGGGCTTTACATTCAGAACTAGTTATCAGAGAAACACCTTCTAGCAATACAGAACTTTGAAGTTTACAAAGTTCTTTCATTATATAGTGTTTCATTTATCCTCATGAAAATTCACTGAAGTAAGAAGGGGCCGCTACGAGATTGAGTGCTTTGGTGAAAGTGACATAGCTAGTAAGCAGTGGCTCTGCGGCTAGAATCCAGGTTGTCTGTTTCCAGATTGAGAGTCTGCTAAACGGACAGTGACACCAACCCAAACCTACCTCATGGTCAAGTTTCAGCAATGGGTCTAGCAATTGATTTAAAGAACACTGAAGTCAGAACTGGATCTTCCATAAGGAAGAGATGAAAGGTTTGAGTTATTTTAGAAAAACACCCAGCCTTTAGATAAGTTAGGACAAGAAGTACATTCTTTTATAACTCATTATCTTCTCCCTTTCTACTTTATTTTTTTCCCCTTGACTTTTTTTTTTTTTTTTTGCGGTACGCGGGCCTCTCACTGTTGTGGCCTCTCCCATTGCGGAGCACAGGCTCCGGACGCGCAGGCTCAGTCGCCATGGCTCACGGGCCCAGGCGCTCCACGGCATGTGGTATCTTCCCGGACCGGGGCACGAACCCGCGTCCTCTGCATCGGCAGGCGGACCCTCAACCACTGCGCCACCAGGGAAGCCCTCCCCTTGACTTTTCTACTCAGAAAAGTTCTTTTTGAAAACTTGTAAATTTCCTCAGGTGAGTGGATCGTTTCCCACTCATATTCAAGGCAGATTCCATAGAGGGATGAGGATCCTTGGAAAGGTTGGGAGTAGTGATTTTGACAGTGGCCATTTCAGGTCAGAATCCCAAGAAAAATCATAAACCTGGGGCAGACTAGTGGGGGTACTGTAGGGAGAAATCTGGGAATAATGATGCCAGAGAGAGCATGTTTTCCTGCCACCTCTTTTCTTGAATTCATAGTATGTTAGACCAAGAAGAAGCCTTTGTGATTCCATGTCCATCTTCTCATTTAGCAAATAAAGAATCAAGCTCAGTGGGGTAATTTCCTTAACATCACTCAGCTAGTAAGCGGTGGAGGGCAGACTAGAATCTGTCTTCTAATTCTCGATTTGCTACAGTTACTGCTACAATTTACAATCTAGATGCATAACACTGGCCTAGCCCAGGAGATGGTAAATTTACCTATCGGGCCAAGTCCTGCCAGCTACATGTTTCTGTAAATAAAGTCTTATTGGAACACAGCTACGTTCGTTTGTTTACATATGATCTATGGCTACATTCCTGCAGCAACAGCAGAGTTAAGTAGTTGAGACAGAGACCACATGGCCCTCAAAACCTAAAATGTTGACTATTGGGCCATTCATAGAAAAAGTTTGCTGACCCTTGGCCTAACCCCGGCAATTCTTGTCTTATTTTTTTTAACCTATTTACTTATCTGTGCCTGGTGCTTCATATACAGTAACCCGCACGTTTCTTTTCCCCACTCCCCATCTCATACCAGATCCTCTTCACTCACAAGCCCATGACATACATAAAACTTCAATGCGTTGAGCGGTGGATCTGTCAGCTCCCTTGAGAGATTCGTGGTTCACAGAGCATACAATGTCTGCCCCATCGTCCTCCCGGGTGACCTGGAAGGTGACTGAGCTGCTCACGGTGAAGGTTTTGCCATTGGGATCTTCCTGTATTCGGGTTGGTTCCCCTAGAGAGCAGAAACAGACACACACTCACACACACATAGACACAGAGTGAGCCCTAACATGCAGAGATTGTGTGGGCCCCACTGTAGACATACAGATGGTGCGTCTCAACTTAGGCAGACTTAGGAAGTTGTGAAATGGATATGTACACACAAGGAGGATGGAGTCCCCAACGCGTGCGCACACACACACACACACACACACACACACACGACTGTACACAGGATATCTGTCATTCCCCTTTCTTCTTCTACACCATGCCTTATGTGCACATACACAGGCATAGACATGTGCCCCTCACTCCCTCTCTTCTCCCCACTGTCCCAGCACCACTTCCTCCTGTCACCCCCAAAGCAGGAAGAACTTACCATGAAGCTCTTGGTCACCCTTCCTCCAGGTGAGCTGGGCTGCAGGTTTGCTCCCAGAAGACTGACAGTTTAGGGTAGTTGTATCCTTTTCCCGTAACGATGACTTGTAGCCAGTGATTATGGGCTTCTGTGGGATTCCTGCCATGGATAGGGGATGGCCAGGATAGGAAAGAGAAGCACGCTGAGGTCACACCTCATCTCTCCCTGCCGAGGTAGACTCTCTGAGGGTTAGGATATCTGAGTTCTAGTTTGGTTTATGCTGGGTAGAAGGCTAGAGAAATTATCTTTCTCTTTGATAAGAGAAAGACCACCCCAGGGGGAGGAGATATGGTGGTGGGAGATTTACCATACCTGAGATGATACATGACCCAACGACCCAAAAGCACAGCTGGGTGGCCACAGATATATGTGAGGCTCAGGGGAGCAAAGAAGGAAATTAAAATGTAGGATCACGATGAGAGCATGCAAACCACTGGGGTACTCATCTTGGAAATTATAATCATACACTGCACATACTTCTAATGTTTCCCTTACACAATCTTGGGAGGTAAGTGGAACAGACACCATCATCCTTTTGTTACAGGTTAGGAAAGTCAGGCTCAAGGAGAGTCAGAGATTCGTCCCAGAGCAAACAGTAAGTAAAGGAGAAAAGATTAGACCCCAGCACTCTTTGCATTTCATTCCATTGCCACGGAAACACACGCTGAACTTTCCCCAAATGCTTGGAGACTTGCTTGGCTCTAGGCTGCTTCAGGCGCCCACGCAGGGAGATTTGTTTGCAAGGAATCACGCTGTGGAGACACTGGGGTTTGGGAGCCTCACCGAGCACAGTGACGAGGGACTTGGCAGTTCTCACGGGCATGGTGAAGATGGAGCAAGTGTATTCACCCTCGTCGGCCAGGGCCACGTTGCTAATGCTGATGCTGAGCTCATGGGGCGTCGATCTAACCAGCTGAATCCGATTATCTCGAAGCGCTGGGGGAAATTGGGAGAATTGGAAGCAAGGCTTTAACTGGTGACTTTCATCTTTATCCTCCAATCCCAGGCCAGCCTTTTTTTCAAGAAAGGGTCTAGTGTGGTTTTGGGGCAGGGGAAAAAAAAAAAACAAAAAAACTGCTCCTGAGTTTGAGTAGTCTTTAGTTTATTCAGTTACTTTCCTGGGCCACTGGGCTCAGTAGCCTCAGAGATACTCAGAAAAGTAGGTGGGTGAGTCACTCCAGGACCCTATAAGACCATGCATGGCCTAGGTCAGAGCCGTAATTCTGAAGTTTCCCTGGAACCAGCTGAGGAGCCCATGGCCTGTTGCTTCCCCAAATAGCATTCCTTCACGTTTCTCAGCCTCTGGACTACAGGGACATTTCCTCTCAGCTCTGCAGCCCCCTTCCCCAGCCCACGTTTCCCATGGAGGCAGATAACTCGTGGGACACTACCTCTCTTCTCCCCAAAGTAGAGAGTCTGCTGGGCAGGGTTAGACCATTGCAGGGATGAATCCTCATGATCTTTGACTTGGCACTTGAGCACCACGGTGCCACCAGCCACCACTGTCTCATCAGATGTCCAGGGCTGACTGTCTGCAGGAGTAGAATTGGGTTAGTTTCCTAAGGCAGCACTAGCCCCTCCACCCATTTCTGGGCCACAGTCCACCTCATCTAATTCAGACCGTCCAGGGCCCATGTCTCTGTATTCTCTTAACGCATCATGGGGGAAGGAATAGAGGTGGGGTGAGGCGGGGGAAGACAGACCTTACTTCCTCTTGCTTTGAATGCACAGAAAAACAGTCACTTGTTGACTATTTGCTGAATGAACTGACAGGGCCACAAACATTTAGAGGGATAAAGGCACCCCAAATCTACACATACCACTCCCCATGTATCTTTTCTGATAGAGTTCTACCATTCACCTTTGAAAACACACATACGAGTCTGTCATTCTGTTTTACCTTCCTGCCACCACCTGCATATAAGGGCAAGAACAGAAGTGGTTGTGATAATGCCCAAACTAAAAGCGAAGAAAAGGCCAACCCCCAAGAATGTGGGTTGCACATTCATTTACACAAGAGGTAGCTGATAAAACTGCAAAATAAACAAAAAAGACTTTTAAAAAAACCTAAAGCGTTTTGACACAGGCTTTTCAATTCCTCCAACAATAACTTCCCTTCAGTCATCAGCTCCCTTAACATATTCCTTTCAGTATCAGTACTACCCGCCTCCCAAGTCAACACACAGCCCAAATCACTATCCTGACGCTATTTTAAAGAATAATGGGTTATGGTTTTCCCTTCGATGTGATAGAAATATGGTTTCTAATCCCTCTCTACTTAGTCAAGTTAAATAAAAGAAGGACTAGTAAGATAGCGTGAGGATGACTCATTTGAATCCCAAATGTGCCTTCTAATCAGGCCTAGCCGTGAGCCCCTCAGTCTGTGTGACACTTGCTTCCTCCACGCAGTGTTGTCCCATGTTCACCAAAGCATGGATTCTGATTCCTAATATTGATTCCCTCATCTTCAGGTCTGACTTCCTGTGACCCGATGGCACAGACCTCTGCAGAGCTAAAATAACGCGTTCTAGCTCTGATTCCTGAAACATCCACACAATTTCTTCTATGGTACTAAATTACTTAACCAGCGTTGTCGCCTCTGAATCAGAAACCAAGAAACGTACTTCCGACACTCCCCGATTGAGCAATTTAAAACAATCCCCATGCTCCCTATGGCACCAACCTTACCCCTGCCCTATCTGCCTATTCCTGTCTTTCCTGGTCACCAGAGCTCCATTTCCAAGGAATATTCAATGAGCATTGCTAGCAGAGAAGGGGCCCTGAAGAGTGAAGGTGGCACCTGCCAGAGCTGACACCAAACACCAATGCTTCTGAGTGGCTGTCTCCAAATTGGAGCCCAAAGCCTTGCTGCTAGTTTTAGTGTTTAGAATCATAAAAATTAGAACTGACAGGGATCTTAGGGATCATGGAATCCAATTCCCTCATTTTACAGATGTACACAATGAGGCAATGGAGGCGAAGTGATTGCTAAAGATCATTCTACCCATCAGTGATTCTAGTTAGGACTAGAATCCTGACTCTCAAGGCAGTGCTCTTTTCACTGGAATGCGCCTCAGATAATCATCTAACTGGAGAATCAAAACTACGACTTCAGTGTTAGCAAGCCAGAGACTGAGCCGGCTGAATAAAGGTGGAAGTGATATCTTCCTTAAATATCTCAACGAAAGGTTTGGGAAACCTATCATTTACTGCTAGCCATATGCCGATTTTTGACTGGTAATCCCATTGTCCCTGGTTCCTTTTGAAGAATTCTATCTTGATTGCGTCTTTCCAGAACCTCTTTATTCTGAGTAATACACTCCTCCTGGAATCATTTTATTTTTGGAAAAAGGTGTAAGGGATACAGAGGTCCCTGTACCTTAGTGAGGGAAGGAGGAGTAGGTGCCAAAGGAGTCGGTGGTGTAGAACTAAGTCCTAAAATGTCAAATGGAGATGGGGAAGAGTTGTGTGGTAATGAGTGGAGTTGAGAACACAGGGTGGAAGCAACATGAGTGGGGCAGGATGTGAGGATGGCGGAGGGAACTGTGGGACGTTGAGATGAGGGGGCCTGGATTCTCACCTTGACTGGCCAGCATGTCAGGGCTGCTCCAGACTGTGGAGCTCATGGCCTCTTCGAGTGGAGCCAGAGTCCCCAGCTCCAAATTCTGCTCTTGCCAGTAGCCTGGGGAGAGAGTCTCCATGAAGGATGAGCCCTACATGTAAGCTGCTACCGTCTGGGATCTGTACTTTCATTGTTGAGGATGGGGGAGAGGGCTGGCCCCTGTGAAAAGCAGGTTCGCCAGGGTACCTAAGAGAAGGTGGCTTTCTCACAAAAGGGGGAGATTAACTCAAGTCCTGAAAAAGGAAGTGAAGTCCTCCTCCGAAGGGGTGAATTAAAGGAGGATGCTAAACTTTGGCAGTCAATCACATAATGTTAGAGCCAACAGAGATCTTAGAGGTCATCTGGTCCAGTTCTCCCAGTTCACAGGTGAGGACACTGATGCCCACTAGGGTTAAAAGTGACTTGGCGAAGGTCATACAGAAACAGTAAAGATAACCAAAGACTTTTCATTCCTGATCCGGGATTCTCTCTGCTACACCAAATTATCTACTAAAATAATGACAGGTTTAATAATTAAAAAGTACGTTTCCATTTAATCCTTTTAATAAACCAGTTAAATAAGTACGTTGGTATTATCACTTCTATCTTGAAGAGAGGAAACAATGAAGTGACTTGCCCAAGGTCCTACAAACAGAAGAAAAAAGACTGGAAATTAAATGCCTGATTCCAAATCCAAAGCTCTGTTTCAAGGTGACACCCTTAGCACTGAAAACAGAGACCACAGCTGGGGTTGAAAGTTACCCCACGCCTTCCTAGATTGTTACCTTCTATCCGGTGCTACGGCTGTCAAGCTTTCCTCCTCCACTTTCAGTCCCACTCACCATTTTATATCACTGACTCTGCTCCCTCATCTGGCACAACACACGCCCAAGACTTGAGTCACCGGCTCTCTTCCTAGTAGATAGCCCCTAAACCCTTTTGTGAGGCACTGTATAGTTTCCATGGCCTATTTTCCCCAACTCAACCTGAGAGACGGAGGGACAAAGAAACCGGCCCTGAGAATCTTTACAGGATCTCCCATTGCAAAGCCAGTAGCCAATCACACGCGCAAAATTCAGTAACGTCATCGGCTGCTGAGCAGAGTCCGGAACTGCTCCTTGTCCCGGGCCTGGAGTCAGGCAGAACTTCGCCAATTGTCCCAGCGCGCCAGCTCCAGAGGCAGCGGGGGAGGGGAGTGGGAGAGGACAGGACGAGAAGGGGTCGATGGGACCGAGGAGGATGGGTAGGGGAGGTGGGGAGGGTACGGGGTGGCAGGGGTGTGAGACTAAAAAGGTAAGTGGGACGTGGTCTTAGGGTCCACGAGAAGAAAGGGGACGAGGAAGAGAGTAGCAGAATCAAAGGGAAAGAAGGGTGAGGGAAAGGAGAGAGTGGGGGAGGGAGGGAAAGGAGTACCGGGGAAGGGAGAGGGATGGGGGAAGGGAGAGGGTGTTAGAAAGAGTCCTAGCCTCGGGATAGGGCTCTAAGATAGCTTCAGAGGTTCACTGGCCTTCAAGGAGACGCCTCCCCTCTCCACTGTTCCTCAGACATGCTCCAGGAGGTTTGAGAAATGACTCTGTTCCCGAACAGGAGAAGCGCTAATGCCCAAATGGGGAGGGGGAGTAAAGCAGTGAAAAAAAAAAAAAAAGTATCTGTAACAGGTAGAAGTAGGCAAGAAAGCGAACAAGGAAAGTGTTGGTGAAAGAGGCAAGAGGATGGGAGAAGGAAAGGCGGCCAGGAAGAGGCCAAGGGCGCTCAGATCCAACAGAGAGTCCCCCTGGGTGCCCTCGCCCTGCTGCCTTCTGTGGACATCAAGAATGGAGGCAACCGGAAGATGGTGAGTGTTTCACGGTATTTTGCAGGTCGTCTGTTTGTGGGCACTTCCACACACAGTGGGAAGCCAAACTGGTTGTGCTGAAGCTTGGAATGGTGGAGGTACAGGGAGAAGCCAGAGAGGGGTCAGTGCCCCACACCACAGTATTGGTACCTAGTGCGCAAAGTAAGCACTAAATAGACCTTTGCTCAAATGGATAAAATAGCCATCTCCTACGCTGGCATAGGGCTTTCAGTTTGCAGAGTGGATTTTCAATCATGAATTCATTTCATGTCAAAACAACCTTGAGGGAGAGGCAGCCAGACAGAATCACTTTTTAGAGATGAGATTTAGAGAGGTTCAGTGACTTACCTAAAGGCACACAAGTAACACCCTCTCAAGGATCCTCTTTCTCCTGCTGGTGGTGCACTCAAAGCTTTTTCAACAGCTTCTGTTTCTTGTAGCATTTCAGTCCATTGTATTGCAATTTACTTGTTTAGTTATCAGCCTCATCTAAACTCAGAGTTGGTGAAGAGAAGGAGCCTTCCCTTATTCATCTTTGTATTTTCAGCACTTAGCCCAGAGTGGTCTCTCAGTACATTTAATTGGCTCTGGTAAAATTCATTCAGTCACGACTGGCGCTCTGCTGTGTCCATTCTTATTCAGGCAGAGCATGTCTTCTGTCCAGATAGCATAGGTTTAGTCTTCATTCTCTTGCTCCTTATTTCATTTGTGCTGTTTTCTGCCTTCTTCTCAGTTGCTTTTCTCCTTGCTTATATTCCTTTCATCCCTCCCCTCCTCCTGCATTTTGCTGGCATTTTTTTTTTTTTTTCTGAATAGGATGAATAAGTGAAATGATGATGTCGGTCATTCAAACTAAACTGAATTGTTTAGATGAGGGGTCTGATAACTAAACAAATAATCTCCAGTAAACGGCATATTGGGGATATGCTTGATACACAGTATTGTGTCTGTAGGTTTACAAGGAACTCACTCTGGTTTGCTGTGTTTTAAGAAACTGATTAAGAAGTAGCTGGGTTTTTTTTTCCTCCTGGGTGTGATACTTTACCTTGTAATTCTCCAAAGTACTTATGATCTCATGTCTTCTCTTGAGAACTGTCTGTTAATATGCCTGAAAGTTATCTTGCTGGTTTTATAAAATTGTATACCTGTAATGATAAATTCCGAAGAGCCACTCCCCTGGGTGCAGATGAGTGATTATAATGTTATTCACAGAAACATGGATAAATGGCAGAAATTATAACCTGGAATGGAATGTGAAAGCCTTGTTCTTTGGATTTAGAGCTTGCCAATTGTTTGTGACATCAGCATAAATTCCCTCAATGGATTCAGACTCGAAAGGGAAACTTAAGAGCGCTCTGAAAAGGTGGCATGCACTTTGAAGTGGAAATAATGACAGTTCTGCTCAGGCAGGGTCATTGGAAGGAAATGCAGACTTTGAGTCCACAAGACCATTAGTAAGGGGAGGCCCAGGTTAGTCACATTGAAAAACAGATAGAGAGAGCTCCAGTCATATGGGTCATATTGTTTCCCTGCTTAGAAGCCCTCACTGACTTCCCATTGTCTGAAGATGATATCCAGATTTGTTAGCCTGGCTTCTAACATCCTGCACGGTCTGATGCCAATATGTCTTTCAGCTTTGTCTTTTCTTTACTTCACTTACCCCATATCCCAGACATATGACACTATTTGGAATTCTTTCTATAAACCCTTTCCTTTCCTGCATACGTTCCCTTTCCCACAGTCATTCTGTTGATAATGCTCTTCACCCATCTTCACACATCTAAGCCCTAAAAAGCCTATTTTCTGTGGCACTTCCTTCAGGAAGGCTCCCCTGATTCCCTGATTGCCTCAGACGGAAATACTTTCTGATTTTTTTTGAGTCACAACACTTTATCTACTTTTCTTAAATTATGCATCACTCTTTACTTTTCGTACTGCAAGTTTCGCTTTCTTCCTAAATTTTAAAGATTCTGCAGGTAGGGTTGATATCTGATTCGTCTCTGTATCCGGTACTGGCCCTAATACAGCATATTGCACTTAGAAGGTGCTTAATGAGTATTTATTTAATAAATGAATCAAAGATGCTTAACATCTTCAACTGTGAGAACTAGGTTCAAAATCTGCCAGTGAAGAGGAAATAGCAAACCAAAAAGGCTAGGAAGAAATGGGCCAAGGAAGAGGGTAGATCATCTAGAAGCTGAAGCTCTATAAGTTTACAAGATGGGTGGAAATCTCTATTTATTGATTACCTTCTGTGTGTCATGATCCAAGCAAGGTGCTCTATATTCATTATTCCAGAGTAACCCTTTAATAGGCATTATTATGCACATGCTAAGGATGAGTTAACTAAGACTCACAGACTAACTAAGACTCAGAAAAGTTACGTAACTTGTCCATATGATGCATCCAATAAGTGTTGGGATAAACTTGGATCTCTCTGACCACAGAGCCCAGACTTTCTGCATATCTTCAGTATACTGCCTCCCTTTGCAGGAACATGTGCTTCGTGTGTGTGTGTGTGTGTGTGTGTGTGTGTGTGTGTGGTGGGGGAGGGCAGAGGTTATAGGTGGAAAGATTCCTTCTTGCATTGCTGGCCTGGGGGTGCTCACCTAAACAAAATTCACAACGCTTACCTGCAATATGGTAAAAATAACAGTGTAGCGAGTTGGAAATGGGTGCTTGTGGTGGTGGTGTGATTTGTATCCACTGAATTGCATTTTTAATTGCATTTCTTGGTGTGTCTTCATCTTTATCTTTGGGGGCTCACCCCAAAGGCCTTATAATTTGGGATGATTCTTCAGTTAACCCAGCAATAGACGTGTCTGGTTAAAACTAACAGAATGCCCTCACGTTTTCATAGCACTCTAGCACCTAGGCTACGAACTAAGATTGTCTTCTTATTTGCTCTCAGTTGTCTGGAGGGTTTCTTAATTCTTGGTCGATTTACTCATGGGTTCCAGTAGCTTTAAGACTCCCAGCATTTTAAAGGACAAAGTAGCCCTTTCACCCACTGATTTCCTTCTGATTAATTGTTCATATTAAGAGTAGCAGAGGTGGGAACCAGGGACTTACTAATGTGCCTTTTAAAGCATACATTGGCACCTCTGATTTCATTTTTCATCCATAGTACAGGACCTCACACATAGTAAGTGCTCAATATTTATTGGATAAATAAATGAGTAACTCAAATGAATAAAAATGTATTATGCTTCCAATTTAAGTGATGCTAGTAAGGAAGTTTATATGTCAGTATAACCCCTTATTGCTTGGTTTATGTATCTTCCCTGCCCTGTCTGTTTCGGGAATCTACATTGCATGGGCCTTAGGGCCATGTACAGGGTCACGGGTGCACATTTGGGATGATGGGACAAGGGGACAGAGCTCCCCTGCATAACTGCTGCTGGCCTTGCCAGTGCTTGGGTCCAGAACTCCACTTCCCAGACTATAGAAAACACCAACTCCCCGAGTAGGAGTTGATGGTGATGGTGATGGTGATGGTGATGGTGATGGTGATGATTCAGCATTTCTCTAACTCCAGAGTTAAAAATACTCTTCATCCCAGCCTACTTGTTATTCCTCACGACTACCATGACAGGTGGGTGGAGGAGTGTTATCTCCAAGGGAAAAACACACTGGGGGCTGTGGCCCAGAGTGCTGAAGGGACCCACTTTTAGAATGGTTTACCCACCCCCGTCACTGGGCCCCCTGACCAGGTGATCTCACCCTGATTCTTCCCTAACACTAGCTATGCAGTGAATTCTCGTATGTATTTCGATCACACACTGAAGAGAACGGCCATGAAATCGGAATTAGAACTCAGCGCCTTAATCTTTTCTTTACGCGCAGAGCCACATTTTTCTTTAGCAGTGAACGTCTGCTTCCGCATTTGGAGGAAAGTGGACCAGTCTCATCTGAGGCCTTATTTAATAGATAATTCCAAGATTTGGGAGGGGAGTTACTTTGACCTGAGTAACTTTAGAGCACAACACCCCGATCACAAAGGACTCTCTTTAAACTCAATTTTCTACATTCGCTCTTAGGTTGCCAGGAATTATGCTACTTCTGCGGAAGTTACTGTGTAGTTTCCTAGTCTAAGACACTGAGGGCAGAGTGTCAAAATATTCTCTCACTTCCTGCTCTACGTTCCTTTCTAACTTTGTCCTCCCCAAGCTCCCAATTCGCTTCCATTCCCAATGTTATAGTGCGGTCAGACGAAAGAAAGCTGGGGCCATAGAGGTAAGAGTTATTCTGTCATGGGGGCTTGTCTGTCTTTTCAGGTGTACTTCCTTCCTTTCCTGTTGCTCTTCAGGGCAGGCCCCTGTCCCCTCACAGGCAGTAGGATCCCCTAAAGGATCTCCTTGCTCAGCTCAGATATGCTCCGGCTCACATCCACTTCAGAGCCTCACAGCTCAGTCATGCTTCAGCTGCCTGCCTCCCTGATCTAGGCCTTCTCTCCAGCTCGCTGGCGCCTCCACCCTTTCTGGCTTGAGCTGCTGAGGCCTTGCTCCTTTGTGTTCCCTCCCTCCATTATTTCTGTTGCTGTCTGGTTTTCCCTCCTGGAGTCTTGTTTATCTACTTTCTCTCTGGCTCCCAACAGCCTCTTGGGTCCGAAGTCACTACTCTCTGGGTGTAGCTTTACTCTCCCAGGAGGCGTACACGATATAAGTGAAACTGGAAGGTGAATAGGGTGGGGAAGAGAACCTTCCCTGTAAGAAGTTCCTACTATACTGATTAGCCTCATAGCTTGGTAAAGTGTGGCCAAGAGGTACAGATTTATAGAACCAGGGATCTTATTCTGTTAGATGATCCAAGAGATTTAGGTTTGGAAAGGACAGATCTGGGCTCAAACAGGTTTATTACTGCATGAAGGCAGATACCTTTTGGTTCCATCCTAAGCAGTTGTTGAAAGTGAAAGGCTTTTGTTTCCTGGGTTTGGAATGGTGTGGGGCTTAGCTTTTCTAGGCTGAATGAAGAGGAGGGAATCTTTAGGGTACTTGGCT